CTGGTAAAACGCGGACTGGACCCTATTAGTAAAACGCGGACTGGACTCTATCAGTGAACTATGTATATATGTATATATGTATATATATATATATATATATATATATATATATATATATATATATATATATATATATATATATATATATATATATATATATATATATATATATATATATATATACGAAAAAAAATTAAAAACATCGCCAAATCAATGCAATACATTGTAGGAGCAAACTGTTTTGCTCCTAAAATTTACTGCATTGAGTTCGTTGTCGGAAAAATGTCGAGGAAAACTTCCCCGTCTGGAGAAAACAATCACTTTTTCAAATACATTGTGTCGTACTGTCGTTCCTGGATGCACAAGGAAACATTACGGGAAAAGATAGTCTTGCGAGAAAATTTCATTTCACAGGTAGTTAATTTAAATTGACTTGCAACTGTGACTTTGCATGCCGTTGCCGTTTTTTGCGATTGATTGAATTGTTTTTTAGTTTATCAATTTTATAGTTTTTAATCAATACACTGGTACGTTATTTTTTACGAATTTATTGTGTGATCGGAATTTGCCTGCCAACACAATGTAAATGAATATGTACGTGTGTTTGAATAATTAGACCATATGGGCTTAGTAAAAAATATTTTAATAACTACGTTTCGGAGTATAACTCCATCTTCAGGTTAAAAGTGAATAAAGATAACACGTTCTACTATAGGGTCCAATATTCTATTTAACAGAATTTGAGAGGAAAATGAAAGAAACACTAAAAAATGCAATGAATACAGCCATGACTGTGGAGAAATTATACATAAATGTAATAATTCTGCATGAAAACAAGAATTCCTTTTCAAACATGACAAAAATTGGTTAAACACATAAAAATAATTGCAAATGTGGAAAATGGAAAATCACATCAAATGCATGTTAAAAATGACTGGAAATATATTTTGCAACAATTTTAGCTCTTCCAAGTTGCAAGATATGACTAAAATGGTACTAAATCTCTAAGAGGAAAAAACTGCTAAAAATGAGTAAAGTGAGTAAAAGGCATGTGAATAAAAGGGGAAAAGAGGAAAATGTTATTGTTCCAAAACATGTCTGGAGGCAGCCACAGTCAGTGAAAATTATATATCAAGAACATGGCACATGCCATCTTCGATAGATCGAAAACTCTAAACTATCCAATGCTTGGATATACCGGTATCGAAAGAATGCCATTTCTTCGATATATCGAAAGAATGCCATTTCTTCAATATATTAAAAGAATGCCATTTCTTCGATATATCGAAAGAATGCCATTTCTTCAATATATCGAAAGAACGCCATTTCTTCGACATATCGAAAGATTGCAATTTCCTCAATATATCGAAAGATTGCAATTCCCTCGATATATCGAAAACTAAACTATCCATGGCTTCTATACTGTATATTGAAAGAATGACATTTCTTCGATATATCAAAAGATTGCCATTTTTTCAATATGTTGAAAACTCTAAACTATCCATGGTTTCGATACATCAAAGAAATGGCATTGTTTCGATATATCGCAGAAATGACATTCTGTCAAATTCAATATGTGAAAAGCCAAAAGAATGTCATGTCTTGCCAAAACAAGCAGCCATGTTTTAAATTTTGATATTAAAACAACAAAGTAGGGCACAATTCAGCTCAATGGGTTAGCAATTTGGTATACACTCAAAATATAACACATTCTACGATAGGGTTGCATATTCTATTTAGCTATAATCAAAATAATCACATGTACAGTCATGCCCGCCAAGAGGGGGGGGGGAATTGCCCTGGGCCCCCCACCTTAATAGGGCCCAAACTTGGAGCATAAGCCTAAAATTGAGTAGGTTCTATAAAGAGTATTTTTGAAATTGAGGGCCACTTACAGCACATCCACATGCAGTCTAGCTAAGGTTTAGTTGGGTCTAGCTTAAAAATAATAATGTCATGGGGCCCCCAGGGAAGATTTGCCTCGGGCCCCGCAAATTCTCTAGGCAGCCCTGTGTACAGTATAGCTAGCTATATTAATTATACATAAACAACAACAACTTATGTATATATCTATATTGACTAAAATCACTTCATTAGACAGTACGGTATACAGTAGTAACAACTAAATTCAGTTTTAAGAGTTTCTTCTGCCCTATAACTATATTGCTTTGGGCAATTTTCCCACGACAATGCATTTGGACACGGTAACATGCAGACCACTGCAGATAAACCAATCCAACAGCAGCGATATAATACATCAAAAGAATTTATCTTCACAAAACATTACATGGTATTGATTATATGTGACCTTCCATGGAAAAGGTACGTTAACGCTTTTGAAAAACGTTCTGAAAAATCGTTCGTTATCCGTTCGTTATCCGTTTAAACGCTTTAGCTTTACGTTGAAACGATTATTGAAAACGTTCAGACTCCTTAATGAAACGTTCAAACGGTTGGACAAAAACGTTTGAAAAATGTTGCTAAATCGTTCGAACGATTGGTACAAAACGTTCAAAAATGTTCATGAAGCCGTTTAAATGCCTCAGAGAATATCTTTACAATAGTTAAGCCGACTTTGTAGGCGTTTAAAAGTTTATCTGAAACTGATTGTCTTGTAGGATTTACAAATGAATACTATTGGACAAGTCGGTATTACGGACAGCGGTATAATATAAGTTCGCCACCCTTCACGATATTAAATATTCTAAGCGTCGAAACTGTTGCGGTGAAATACTGCAACAATATCTAATTTAGCAAAATGTTTCTCGTATGTTAAAAGGTGGTTTAATTAAAATACACATCCGCGAACTTGCCGTTTCCGTCTTTTAATAGCATCAACTTAGTGTCAATTAATTCATTTAAATTATATTATTATTCTGGTCGAATAACTAAGAGTCGTTATGTTACAAATACAATTGTATCCAACCAAAAAATAAAACACTTTCAATTGTACAGCCCACCAGTTTACAGAGGGAATTTTGTCCATCCGGCGAATAAAAAAAACACAATTGAACGCGGCAGTAGATCAGCAACTAACTCAATTAAATTCTTGCAAGGTCACTACACGCGACACGGCACAAATTTCGATAAATCATTTCACACATGAATGGGGAATGGCAACGGCGCAAACCGTACTCGAAGACCATGGCCGTGCGAGGCACTCCCCGTTTGAATTAAATCTACACACAACACTATATTCGCAACTATTCGACGACTATTTTTTTATGCGGATACTGCGGATACTTGCATTCTCCTGTCACCAACCGAAACCGATACTGTTTCAATGTCAAAAAATGTTATACAGTCAGCTACTTCTGTTTTTTAGCTCTGATCCACTTATCTGGGGAAAACGTCCAAGTTGATATTAAACGTGATGCCTGCAGCCTTTTAACTGCTTTATTAATTATATTTAACTATTTAAACAAAATGACCGATTTTATTAAAGATGCGGGAATCAGCTACAGCATAAACAATAATAAAGCAGAGTCAATCACCAATTTTTCCTCAGTTATAATTAAACCATGTATGCATTTATTTCCGAGTTTTAGAAGGACGGTTGATCTTGCAGCGTTCGCTTACATGTGCAAAATGGAATGTCTCAGGATAGAATATTATACAATACAAAACAAAACACGAAACGTCGAAATAAATTTTCAAAATGCTTTCAATTTTCGGAGTATCTATTGTTTTGTATTTTATCAAAATACTCAGTGGTTCCCGTAATTAAAGAATATTATACCTTTTTGGCGTTTCAAACACTTCATTTTATAATTATTTCATTAATTGGCATTGCTATTACCAACTTTTGTGTCTTCCATCTTTCGGGAGCTATTATGCTATAATAACTGATATAAGCTGGTGTTATAAGAACAACAACTGTCATAAGAAAGAGACACTTAATTATCGCGAGGAATCTCAAAGATTAAGGAATTTAATATTCCCATACTCTAATTTTCCTTTCAACTATATAGTCGCATTCAGCCCTGCAGTCGAGTGGAGATCACTCGGTTAACATATCGATTTTTTCCTTAACCCATGCACCTCTTCATATTTTCAGATAATATATCGCGTCATGTAGCGTGATAGGAAACACTTGCATTAAATGTCACAGAAAATGATTATTAGATAATTATACCTTTCTATTAAACCAACTATTTTTATACAAGTTGTCATCAATTTCGTCAATATTAGCTTGCAAAGTTCAAATTGCGCCAACACGGATAGGATGTTATCTTCATGTGTGCGACTGTAAATTCGATAGATAGCAACTTACAGTGCCTAAAATGGATTTATGCGAGGACTTACGTAGCTTAAAATATATAGGTCTCTGACAACATCAAAAGTGAGAAGACATCGTGAGGTTAGCGTATAGTCCTGGTGGTCAACTAGTTACTGCATGTATGCCGATTAAATATTTATAATTTATTTTTGATTTCTGTAAAGAAAGTAAAATAGGAGGCCACCAGGAAAAGTTGTGTGTATTAACGTGTTCCGTCTACCACTCCAACCAGGGGGGGGGGGGACAGCCTTATATATTGTATAGTTGTGTGACTTGTGTATGTTAAATATAGCCTATAATAAAAGACGTTTTAAATAGCGATGTTGTGATTGCGCGAAGACATAAAAGGGAATTGGTCTTCTTGATTAGGCTTGTAAAAAGATGTACTATATGCATATCCAGTATATATAGTGCATTTTAAGGAGTGCATTCACACTTTTCATCAGTACCAATATATCGTCATTATTCTTATCTGCATTCTGCAATTTACCGTATAATTACTGCGTGCTGCATGTGTTTTATATTTGCCGTTCAAACTGTTTATTTTCATGGTTTAAATACCTTTAGGTCATGACCATTTACTATTATGTTAGTATAACACATCGTAATAAATCACCATTGTGACCGCATCTTTGCCTAATATTCAGGAGCGAATTATGAATTATTACACTCTAAAAACAGGTGTGTTCAATTACACATTGACATGACATGATGTGACAGCATGGCGGACAGACGTGTGTTGAACAGTTCCACACTTGAACAAAATCTACACGAAAATACAACTGATAATGATAATCACACAAGTGAAGTGAATAGCCAAGCGAACAACCTCACAGTTAACGAAAAAGGGAAATTCAAATGGCACGGCAGCTTCGAAAGCCTAAAAACGTTGATGAACGAAATTACAGAGAAGGAGACAAAATGGTCGTCAAGCGGTTACTGTAAAATGCTGGACTTGGACGAGGTCGTGGTTAGATGGTATTCAAATAATAATTCACTTACTATAAACGGAAACATGAGCGAAGATATGAAATCTCAACTTCGAATTCTTGCCACCCTAACTAAAGCTGATTCTCAAACGACAAACAACATCGATACCGACACAAACGAAACCGGCCAAGATGATTCGGTCGTTTGCATCACTAATTGCGATGAGAGCTTAACAAACACAAACGGAAACGACAAGTTCGAAGTTTTGCTTGACACTGTGCAAAAACTTGAGAAGAGATTGGGACAAAAGATCAACAACCTTGAGAGCGAAATACATGAGACAAAAATAGAGTTATATAATGAGAAAATGATAAGAGGAGAGAACGAAGCCATGAATAAATCATCTGTCAACGACCAGTCATCGGCTGTTAATAAACTTCTCACGAAAGACAATGCCAGATTAAAAAAAGAAAACGATTCACTTAAAGA